TTCGAAGGAAAGGGGGAAATGACAAATAGCACGGTAAAAACTGGGGTCTGTGATCGAAAGAGACACAAACTTCGCATTCCATTCCTGCTAGAGGCTTTGGTGGGGTTTTCTTTCAAAGACACTACGCATGACGATGTTTGAGCCGTCAAGGGGCAAAATGAGTACCAAAATGATCTGTGCAACATCACTGGGAAGCAGTGGACAATATATTTAAAGGGACCATGAAATGATTTTAAAATCGAGTTTCATCCACCGCACGTCGTAAAAGGTGTGAAAAGAAACACAAAAACACAAAAATAGGGAGCCAAAAAAAATTATTTGCTATAGAACTTTTAAAAGAAAACTGGACTCTTTTGCGCCTTCCTTCCTTCGCCTGTTCACTACAATGCATCCGCGGAAATGGAGCACATCAGCCGAATCCAGGTCGCCTATTGGGTAAGAGCCTACCTCACCAGCACCGCGATCGTAAACAATAAATAGCCGGCGAATGTTTCCTAAAAGTTTTGTTAAATAATATTCAGATCCACATTTTGTAGCATAATTAGAGATGTGTGGCGAAAATTGCCAAATTTGATAATGCTGAGAGCCAAGCGCCATCTATCGTGTGGTAAACGAAGCAACTACTGCGCGTGCGCAGTAGGGCAGGGCCGACAGTTAATTGGGTGACGGCGACCGACGAACATTTATTTTCTTTGTTTTCCTTCCTCTCAAAACTCTGACTGACTGAACGTTTATTTTTCTACGTGTTCTTCCCGCGCGTGCCGACTTCAAGCAGCAAGAAAACAGTACTTAAAACAGACCACGACGAACAAGAACGCTGGATCCACCGACTCCGACGAAGCGTATAGGCCTAGCAGGCATTCCGACTCGGCGCTGCGTTGCTTCGTCGCAAGACCGTCTGCCTACGATCGGCTGGCGTGCTAAATGGAATATGCCCGCGCGACCCTTGTGGACCCTTCCCGTATTATAGTTTGATCACTGACCTCAATTCTAGATTAAGAGGTGAGGTCAATCTCTTCCCCTTGTTTTCCGAGGCAGTGTTGACGAACACTCGTCGATTCTATCTTGTTTTGTGTGATATAGAGCTGAAATAAGCGCCGTATGGATTACCTTCGTAACACGGTATGTACACTTTGTTATTGGTATGCCATTTTTATTCTGACAGACTGCACGTCACTGTCGAGCTATAACAGTTCCGGTCCAACCTTTCTTTGCCGAGTGTCGCGTCAGTATCGAGTTGCAATCGTAAAAGAACGGTCCCGAAGCGCTTACAAACAGCGCGAATACAAGACTTCCATCAAGCGCGCGCGTCCGCTCCAAGTGTAAACAGGTATTTACATGGCTCTTGCTGACACTCGTAGTTCAAACGTATCTTTTTTAACGTCAGCTCGCTCCTGCATCTCCGAGGCCGCGAAAAACGCCATCTACGTCGCTTTGCAAACGACTGACACGGGCCGGCCCTTCTGCCAACAATGACGGGGTGGTTGACTTCTGGAGTCTTCACCGGAAGACTCGCTGCACTTCCCAACAGGCATACCGGCGTATGGGACTAGTCCCATGGTGTCGCTGTAGCGCAACATATCTCATTGAATTTCGCTCAGCTGCGATGCGCCGATGAGAGGCGCCGATTCAGGAAATACGTCGGTGACATCAGCGCAGTAAAACCTACCGGCGCACCCCAACTCGTTGCCGCTAACACTCCCATTCTCCTACTGCCGAGAGAACTTCCGGTTCCGGAAACGGCCTACGTCACGGCTTGTTTTGCGGTCAGTTGGAGAGAATGAAAAAGTCGATATTTCAATAATTTTTTGTGTAGAAGTTAATAAACCGAGACGAAAACGGATGCCTGTTCGGCATTCAGTGAACATTGACGGTTTAATGTAAAAGTTATCTGGAAAAAGTAAAAAGGTCATTTCATGGTCCCTTTAAAGTTTTTCGTTTTCATGTTTTATTTTAGAGCGCAGCTCTTAGGGGCCCGTTTCCGGCTTGAGCAGCGTCGCCGTTGGCGTCGCCGTAATTGCGCGGTGCGTCATGGGAAATGTCCCATAATGCACCGCGTGAGCTCCCCACCGGGGTCACGTGACCTCGGGGGGTCACGTGACCCCCGCCGATTTCGCGTGACCCCCCGATGACGTCATCGTCACTGATGACGTCACCGGCATCCACATGGTCATCGTCATCATCACTGATGACGTCACCGGCATCCACATCGTCATCGTCATCATCACTGATGACGTCACCGGCATCCACATCGTCATCATCATCATCACTGATGACGTCACCGGCATCCGCATCGTCATCGTCATCATCACTGATGACGTTACCGACATCCCCATCGTCATCGTCATCATCACTGATGACGTCATCAGTGACGTCACTGATGTCGTCACCGGCATCCGCATCGTCATCATCACTGATGACGTCACCGGCATCCGCATCGTCATCGTCATCATCACTGATGACGTTACCGACATCCCCATCGTCACCGTCATCATCACTGATGACGTCATCAGTGACGTCACTGATGTCGTCACCGGCATCCGCATCGTCATCATCACTGATGACGTCATCAGCGAGGTCACTGATGACGTCACCGACATTCGCATCGTCATCACCACTGGTAAAGTCATCAGTGACGTCACTAGTGACGTCACTAATGACGTCATCGGTACCCGCATTGTCATCGTCACTGATGACGTCATCAGTAACATCAGAGATGACATCATCGGCATTGGGGGTCACGTGACCCCCCAAGGTCACGTGACCCCCCCTGGTTAGTTTAACCCCCCCAGTGCCCTTCCCTCCTCCTCCTCAAAAGCTGCGCTCTAATTCGGCGTTACAGGGAGTTGTAAGCGGCTTTCACTTTTTATTTTCACGTCCATGACATTCTTTCCTAAACAAGATTTTTTTTTTTTTTTTTTTAATTTTGGCATTAACAGAAATAATTTTTTATTTTTCTTCAAATTGTTTCAAACTACGACCCTAAACGGAAAAGCGCACAAAATAAAATCGAGGTAAAGCCGGATGGCCCCAACAGGAAAATGAGCAAAACCCATAGAAGACTTTGGGAGCTAAAGAGGAATGGCAACCCTAAATGAGAACACACAATTACAATGGGGACACAATTATGGGAACAAGATAAAATTTGGCGGACATTAAAATAGTCGTCGACGGAAATAAAACCCGAAAACGAAGAACTTCAAATAAATTGTCCACTGCTTCCCAGTGATACTAATTGACTATCGAGGACTCAAATATACGAGTCAAACTGATTTAGATAACTTTGATGTCTAAAACAAATGTGGAGCGATGATATGTTTGCCTTTCGTCAAAAGCACAGGTCTTGCATGCATCGAAAATGCTATTTTTCGAGTAGGAGATGACCGTATCCGTTCGAGCAATGGTTCTTTTTTATACTGCTGGAAACTACCACCTAGACAGCGCCGGTTTGACCCTGATTGTTCCAGATGGGAAAAGCCGACGATGATCGGGGACGTGGAGTCATTTAATCGATCGCATCCGATGCCAATGTCACCGACAGAAAAAGAATGAAGGGGAGGCCTTTCGGTTACCCCCCCTCCAGTGCGAGCTTTCCACCTTCGATGACATTGCGGCGTCTCGTCAGCCTCGAGTGTGCGTGTGCAACTAATGCACGATAGAGTTAAACGAGCGCCGACCGCCCAGAAGGACGTTCTGCCGTTCTCATTCTGTCAGGGACTGTACCCACCGCACAGTAGGGTGGCGTGGGTAATATTACTTCGGAGTAAACAACCTGCCTCTAGAGTGCAAGATTTAACATGACCAATGAGCACGAATAAGTTTTGGGAGGGCACGGTAAGATATACCTTTACTTAAGTCTCGGATTGAGCAAATTCTGGAATGCAGCCTCGGGGTGCGTGTGCCGACCATTTATACCACAATCGCCGTGAATCCGTGCAAAGGCTGACCGGTGATCCGAACGAGCTTAGCAACCGAGCCTCATTTGTCTGTTCGCACGGTGTGAACAGACCCAATTTACTCCCGCTTTTTACAGTGGCAATGAGAGGAGACAGAGCTCGAAACGGGTGTGCCCGATTGGTGTGTGGGGACATAAAATTAGCGTAAAACAAAAATAAAACAAACATGCACACACGTCTTCACATTTCACTCTGATCCAAGCGAGCATGATAGGTTGTTGCCTAATACAAGATTCTGTATCGTTCAAGGCTATGCAATAATTCTTCAGCAATAATTCTCCCGAACCTTCAAAATGGATAAAAGCAAGAGATGGGAAACCTCTTTCGCTAAATGAAGAAAATAAAAAGGGTGCCTGGAAGAATCGATCCCGCAACTGCTCTAGCCGCTCAGACACGAGGCTAAAGCCTTACCGCTTCAAATAATTATCCACAAATGCTTTCATTGTTTTTTCTTTCAAATAAGAAGATTCTTACTGGCCGACTCATTTTGTGAACTGAGGGTATGAACGTTACCAAAACGACACAGTAGCGCTTTTTCACTGAAAGTGGCTTCAAAAGAAAAAGACAAACATTTAAGAGTGACCCCAAGATTCACAAACTGTACTTGGCAATGAAAGCTAAAAAAATTGTTGCAATACCTTTCAATAAACATTTAAACCAAATACAGTGACATCTAAATACTTTTTTCAAGGATCTAAAAACTATAGAATGAATCAGTTCAGGGCATAAATCCTTTCAAGAACATCTAATTGAGGGAAGGCATTATCTGTCAGGAGTTATCTGGGAATGAATTTAGGGTCAAGAGTATATGGTCTGAAATATATGTGTCAGACTCATGAAATGGCTATAAATAGAAATAACAGCTTTAAGGAGCTAAATTAAAATTTGCAAGCACAGAGCACTGCATTTAGGATTAATTGCTGAAATGAAAGACTACTTAAAAACGGCAATTTAAGTTTCAATGGTTTTCCAAAACACATGGGAACCCTGCATTCAAAAAGCAACTTCAAAATATTCAAACAGCTATCCAAAGAAAGAACTTACTTGTGTGCTGTAAGACCGCCACATGCTTCAAAGAGCTGTTCGTCCGATATTCTAACAGAAACAGCAGGAAAGGCAACACTACATTAGTGAGCTCAATTGGTAAAGTTAAGGTTGAACAAGACTTTGCATCTGAAGAACTGCCCAATAAAAATTCAATGGAAATTTGGCAAAATTATGAACTCTTTTGTGCATGCATAAATGCTATGGTTGGAGCGCATAACGGAACCAATTAATAGCAAAGTGATTTATGTGGCATTATTTTACGAGAAAAAAAAGAAACATTTCTGAACTCAATTACAAAGACAACACAGACAAATAAAAATAAATTTGTAGCTTAAAGGGGCTGTGCAACGATTTTCAGACTTTGGCCAATTGACTGCGGAAATTAATCAGTTGTTTTCTTTCTATGTTGAATAACAGGATTCCTGAAACAATGTTACAAGATTAGACCATCCCTTGCTGAAACACATAAGATTCTCCTTTGGGATCTTAGACACCATTCATTCCTTAACCGTCCATCGCTTGAAGTAAAAAATTGTGTATAGTTGAACACCTCGTTTAGTTCAACTTGACCCATCTTTGTCTCTTTCAGCACATTTTTTACACACCAGCATGGTGCAAGTGGCCCAACTATCCACTCTGTTGTTGTGAAGCTACTGCAAAATTATGTGAGACACACAAAGACATGCTAACCCTGCTTACAAAACAAGCATATAGTGAGATCTCAAAAATCAGAAACCATTGAATTCTGAGAAAAGTGTTCATAAATCGAGTGTGGCACAAAAGAGGGCACCGGTTTTTATAAAGTGCCTTTGAACAGCCTTTTTTTATCCGCTCACATTTTTTGTCACGTCACCTTTCATAAAAATGCAAGCGAAATTTAACAATATTGATTCTTTACGGCTAAACATATTTAATGACATGTCCACTTTTAGTCATAATCTTGAGGGCACATTATTTGCATAGTTTGGTAAAATCAACTTGCGCGTGTGCATACTATCTGCATTCAGCACATTTTCTTTTGTGTAGTCTTATTTCAATATGTTTGCTTTCCTGTGTTATGTCTGAAAATGCGTTGTGTACCACACAAAAGGCCAGGAGTTGTTTGTGGACACATAAAATAAAGATTATTATTATTATTATCATCATCATAAAGACACACTTTGGAATCGGGCAAACTGCAGAAAGAAAACTGTGACTATAGTTGCTGGCACTGTTGACAACTTCAGTCAGCAGTTAGTACTATTCACTGTAAAACCAAGTCAAAAGCATCACCACCTGATCATACACGTCTTGAAGGCTTTCAAAGGCAAGACCACAAGGATAACTAAGAGGAAATTGATAGCTATTAGGCAAGACAATTATAAATCAACATCTTTTTTTTTTTTTTTCAGAGCTTTTTAAAATAAAAGGTAAACTTTGAATAGCGAGCAAAATTTCCAGGTTCATCAAGCTAACCTATAGCCCCTGACAGGAGGAAGCAGGCGGAATGCTGGAGCAAGGGGGACATTTCCTCTTCTGCTCTACAGCAATCAATCTGCTTCCTCCTCCCCAGCCTTCCCTTCCCTCACCCTAACCTCTTAACCTGTCACCAACCATAGATGCTAACCCAGATCAGTCGCTGGTGCGAGCATGTTGGTGCAGTGTCAAATACTAATGCGCATATACAGGGTGTCACAAAAGAAAATTTACACTGTCTTTTTTACCGCAAAAATAAACCAGGCATCGCCGAATGCTCATTTTCCGCCCAAAGGTAGAGCTAGAGGTCACAACCATATGCCAAAGTTTCAGCCCGATCCGATAACTTAATCGAAAGTTATAAGTGATTTTCTGAAAATTTCAATGGGAAAATGGAGCCCATTTTTGCCCGTTTTCGGTTTCGGGTGCCATAGAGTCCCATGTGTTTGAAAACTCCGTCGGCCGCCATTTTCCCATTGAAATTTTCAGAAAATCACTTATAACTTCTGATTAAGTTATCGGATCGGGCTGATACTTTGGCATATGGTTGTGACCTCTAGCGCTACCTTTGGGCGGAAAATGAGCGTTCGGCGATGCCTAGTTTATTTTTGTGGTAAAGAAGACCGTGTAAATTTTCTTTTGTGACACCCTGTACATGCCAGTGCAAAGCAGCAAAGCTTGATGCGAACGGCCTGGTAGGAATGCCACGGCATTGAGCCATGTGGTTGGTATGATAATCATTTGGTCTTATCAGGAATAAGAAACTCTGGCTGTCTTATCACGACAGTCAACATCCCACTGTTTTGCTAAAAGCCTCCTCACAGCTTTATAGCTTCTTCCTCACGACACCGCGGTGACGATGGTGTCGTCGTCTGGATATCCCAATGATGATGTGGCCGGAGTGGTTGAGACGGGTATTTACCTGGGTGACTAGGGATGCTGCGAGATAAATGCTTGTATAAATTACCTTTCCTTCCTTTTGTTTAAAAATTAAGGACAATGAAGATGACTGGATGGATGGTAGAGGTCATACCACCTTGTATTAGGCAGCAGCTTGTGCCACTTAGTCTAGAATGTGCCACTTAGTATAGAAACATTTCTACCTCTCCCCTCCCTAAATTTTGCACTTGTTAGCAAAGCCAAGCATTCCCACCAAAACTGTCATCCCTTTCGGGAGGGCTGGACTAAGACCTACACATTTTAAAACTACATGTTCTATTGCTTTGTCGCCACTTGGACATTATGGCGCATAATGTGTCCCAGGTCCATTAAGAGGGGACACTACCCAGGAAAATAAAATTCTACGAAACAAGTTGATTTTAAAAAATGACATACAGTTCAACCTACTTATAATGATAATGAGAAAACCCAAAATTTCAATCGTTATTATCGATTATCGTTGTATCTGGACTAGAAACTGATCATTTCCAGTCTAGAAACTCTCAAAACTGATCGTTATAAGCGGTACATTGTTATATGAGGTATTGTTATAAGTGGGTTGCACTGTATTTACCTCCACCAATGTCTAGAGCAGTGGTTCTCAAGCATGAATGTGTCGGGGACCCTTTGGGGACCCGCCAAAGTGACGGAGGACCCCATGCCAGTTTGGAACGGGAAAGGGGGGGGGTATCAAATGAGACAACTGATTGCAGTGTGAAAAGGGCCTCCTTTACTGTTATAAACAGGATAAGTGAGAAGCATCAACATGGTGCATGGACGGATAGATGCTCAGTAATGGCTGTACCCCTTATAATGTGCGGTAGCTTGCACCACCTAGCAGTACAACAAAAGGTCATGAGCCATTCTACTCTGTGAAGGTGGGTGACTAGCGAAGCTGTTTGGCACACGACACAGACTCACCGCGAGGAGCCGGAGGAAACTAGACACGCGCAACAGGACCGCCATCCGGTGGAAAGTAGACACGCACGATGGGACCGCCACCCCGGGAAAACAAAAGGAAAGGAAACTAGGCATGCAAGTGCTTGGAACGACGGCAAAGAGAGGGCGGTGAGAGTGTAGACATGGTCGACGCGGGTCACATGGAGGAAAATCTTTGAGAAACCTTTACTATCTATCTGAGAATTTACTGATCTTGAAAATGGTGCCTATTGATAACTAATCTACTGAATAGACCTATTGCTAAATTACCCAAGCACCAGGAAGCATGCAGGGAACGGTGTTCCATGCTCCACATGTGCCAGCGTCTGCACCAGTAAGTGTTCTAAAGCAGAAGCCTAAAACAAGTGGCATCTTGCACGTGCGTTTGTCAACGCTTTATTTTGGTTATTTACTTTGAATCTTTTATATGGGGAAGGCGTGTGCACGCGGCAGCGCGAGTTTAGAGTTTTTGGTCACACACAAGAAAAATCCATGGAACCCTAGCCAAAAAGGGGAGTTGTTCAGGGTTGGGCGAGGGCTTCGCGGAATCCATTTGAGAACCACTGGTCTATGTATTCCCAGAATGTTTCACTTGTTTACACTGCATAGTCAGTTTTATAAATTATTTCCACCCCACCGGTGCTAAAGAAAAAGTGGAATTTCGAACACTTTGAACATATTTTTCTCCATTCCATTTTTTGGCATAAATTTCCTATTAGAAAAACTATCGTTTGGTAACCGGACAAAAGGAAGGGCTCACTCATCGTTTTTACTAACTGGAATTCAATGGGCAATGCAACTGTGACATTATAACGGATGTCCGTTATAAAAATTTTAAGATTTTGTCGACAACATAAAAGGCAAAAAATATATTTGATTTTTCAGCACAATATATATGTTAGCATGAAATAAATTACTTTCTGGAAATTTTGTTTTTAGAGTTGCACTCCAGCTCCAAGCATTCTGCTGCATATCTAGAGAAGCAAAATGTTGAGTATTACAATAGTTTCCTAACGATAGTTGTCCTAAATAATATCAGTGTTCCTGATAAAAACAACTATAATTTTGTTCGCAATTCATGTAGGCAGATTAAACGTTGCACTACACTCTGCCTTGCAACTGTCAGTATATACTACTGTAAATTTCATTCATATTAAGCCAAAGGTTCAAATCTTGATCCTGGGTAGTGTCCTTCTTTCCTTAAACTTTTCCAGGACCTCTTTTTTGCATTCCTATATTTCTAATTTACCTCTGTCACGTACAGCACCCCTGCTCTGCCAATCTTGGTCTGATGTGATGCAGATTTGTCCCTTTTCCTTTCTCGGAAGATCTCCCATTTTGATGCAACTTCAGCTGGTGTGACCCACTTTCTATTTTCTAATCTGTGTTGCTTAGATGCTTCTTGGTGTCGTGTTATGGCTGCCTTGACTTCCTTCTCCCAGCATCTTTTTGGTTTATGTCTTTATTTTTATGGTCCTACATTTCCTAAACGATCATATGTCCTCTCTCTTTCCAGTCGCTTGGATATTATGATCTCAATTTCTTCGAACAATTTTTCTAGCTCGGCATGCTTTAAACCCAGTTTATTTTCCCAGTCACTGGTTTGCATTTTTTAATTTCGACATGCTAAATTTAATCACCGTTTGGTTCTGGTCCCTTTCCAAACGCTATGTAAATTATGCCCGTTTTTATTCCTCCTAATCTACCTGTAAGACATTAAACAGGAGTTAATTCTTGAGTGTGAGTTGTTCCTTTCACACATTTTAAATGTTCATCAGTACCAGCTCGAGCATATCTGTAAATATATACTACCGTAAAATCCCGTAAGGACGCCCCTTTTTGAGAGATCGCCCACCCCGTTTTTCTGGCTAAATATTTGTAACATAAAAATTCCCAAACATCACCCGACGTCAAGCGATATCCGAAAAGAATCGCACATCAACGGCGCTATCTGCGGAAGAGGTTTGTCTGACAAGCGAGTTCATAGCGGGTTCTCACGTTTTTGTCTGCAATCTGCGTGTGTGATATCGGCTCTCCTAACAAGCGAGTTGTTCCCGCGTGTGCATTGCATCGTGAAATGAGAATCTGCTGTGTCTGCAATCCGCGGTATTTGTTTCCGTGACACGCGAGTTTGTAGCGTATTCCCGCGTTTTTGTCCACGAGCTGCGCGTGCGATATCGGTTTTGTGACAGGCAAGATTGTAGCGGGTTCCCGCGTGTTTATTGCACCACAAAACTTGAATCTGTTGCGTCTGTGATCTGCGGTATCTGTTCCCACAAGATGAGAGTTCTTGGCGGGTTTCTGCGAGTCCTTCTCACCGTGAAGCGCGAATCTGATGCGTCGCCCACTTGTGGTACCCTCTCCCTTACAAGGAGATTGTAGCGAATGCCCACGTGTTTATCGCATTGTGAAACGCAAATTTGCCGTGTCCGCGATCTGCGGTATCAGTTTCTGCGTCACAAGGTCTGTAGCGGGTGCCCAGGTGCTTATCATTAATTTTTGATAAAGTTTTGCTGTGGCATCCCCAAAGATAGCCCACCCCATGTTTTTCACCATTTATCTCTTCATTTTGGGTGGGCATTCTTACGGGATTTTATGATATACTAAATAAAAAAAATTCTATTTTTTTGGCAAATTTTTTCAGTCAGGGACTCAATCATGTTCAATTAATAAGGAAGTTTCAGCACTCGTAAGAGAAGAACCCCTCTAGCAAAGTTAATTTCTTTACTGAGAGGGTCACACCAAATACTTCATTAGGGGCGAATGGCAGCCGCTCTACAAAAATATGAAGGCATCAGAGGCGACAGGTTTTTGCTCCGTATGCTGCACTGGCACCAGCAGATGAGGTGGTAACCTGGAGAATTTGAAGCTTTCACATTTGAGGGAAAGTACTGAGCATTCACCAGGTTTTAACCTTATCTCAGGAAAAGACATGAAATATGAGAAACGCCGCCCGAACAGAAGGGCTTTATGTGTGACAGGTTTTCGTCAAGGAAACCTGTCACACACAACCCTGTTGGCAAGACGTCGGCAGTCGCTCTGAGACTTCCAGGAGGTTCCTTCTCAAGTTATTCAAGCCAGCATCGACTACCTCTGTGCTTTGCCTGAAAACGTATATATTTTTTGGCCACCCAACCTCGATGAAACAGCTACATCCCATTCATTTTGTGGGCGACTTATCAGCCAACACAGCTAGAATGGCTCCACGACATGGTGTGCCTCTTGTCACGGCTCTTTTGCCAATATATATAGTAGTATTGGCCTCAAGATCGACCTAGAGGTGGTGCTACAGTCGCGCTATCATCATCATCAAAGCGGGGATAGGAGAACGGCCGCCCCATAGTCTTCCCATGTTCGCGCGCGAGACGGCATAGATTCTTGCGTTTATTTTGTCGCATACTATCGATGGGAAAGCAATTCTAGCGGAAAAGGACGCGGTACTGTTCGGTGCTTCAGTGAAGATCGAATCGTGTTGCCAGCGTCCGGCCTAAATTTATATAATCGCTTCTGTGGGTGCGTCGTCTGCTCTAGACAGATGTTGGAAAGCATGGATCACCACGACTGATGCCTGCCTCCGGCTGAACTGGAATATTTATGTTAAATATTTGTTTCTTTCAAAATGGATGAAGCGCTTCATCAATGTGGGAATTAAAACAAAACAATAAATTCCAACCCAGATAACATAATACTGGTACTGTGGGCTGTGAAATCGCAGTTTCTATGCTTTTTTTTAACTTCCAGCTTTTGCAGTAATATAAATATTTAGAATGAACATAAGTTTAACGCTGTGTTGGAAATTACCATGCTATTGAGTTCCACTGCCCTTTTACTGTGCCATAGTGTGGGTAAGTTTTTTGGAGGAACCATACGATGCGGACGGCTAACGTTTTTCGCTTCTTCTGTACGCAGTTGATGTTCAGCACATGCTTCCTACCAACAGTGGATTCAAGTTCTACAGTTCTACTCGCAAAACCTGTCACAGCGGCGGGTAAACTGCCAGTCATCAACAAGAACACGCCACTTCGTCTCCCACCGGACATGCCCACCATCCTGCCAAAAACGTTCGAGAGGCCAGCCTCATCATCAGCGACATCAGCGGCGCCACACGATAAGAGGGACCGGCCGATCGCCTATGCTTTCACTGGGCATGGGAACAGCCACACGATGCGGACGGCTAACGTTTTTCGCTTCTTCTGTACGCAGTTGATGTTCAGCACATGCTTCCTACCAACAGTGGATTCAAGTTCTACAGTTCTACTCGCAAAACCTGTCACAGCGGCGGGTAAACTGCCAGTCATCAACAAGAACACGCCACTTCGTCTCCCACCGGACACGCCCACCATCCTGCCAAAAACGTTCGAGAGGCCAGCCTCATCATCAGCGACATCAGCGGCGCCACACGATAAGAGGGACCGGCCGATCGCCTATGCTTTCACTGGGCATGGGAACAGCCATACGATGCGGACGGCTAACGTTTTTCGCTTCTTCTGTACGCAGGTTAGTAATATCGATTCTTTGTACACTAAAAAATCAAGCGACGTTTTTCTTTTGGTGTTCCCATGCCCACGGGAGTTGTTCTCGATCGTCGGTCAGAGTATAGATGTTGTAAAATTGCTGAGGCTATGCGGCGACGTTGAGGTAAACCCCGGTCCTGAAACGCGTAACAAACAGCTTGACGACATGTGCAAACTGCTTCAAGATGGTCAGTCTAAACTACTAATGGTTGTAAATGAAATCAAAACAAATCAACAGCAGTTGGAAGACAAAATCACTGACATCTCTAACCGGCTCCAGAATGTGGAAACTAAGACTAATGTTCTTGATAGACTGGATTGTGAAGTACGCACTACACATCAGGTTCTAGAAGAAGTTAAAAAAGAAAATGCATTCTTGCGTGCTAGACTTGACGACCTCGAAGATCGGTCTCGGCGAGACAATCTAATCTTTCATGGTATAGATGACTCGCCCTCAGAGACCTGGGCCCAATCTGAGCAAAAAGTACACTCGCTGCTTTCTAACGTCCCTGAGCTGAGCATTTCTGAAGAGGGAATCACTCGTGCGCACCGGCTTGGTACGTTTTCTCGAAACAAGTGTCGACCAGTAATGGTAAAACTTGTGTCAACCAAAACTAAAGAGAGCATCCTTTCAGCAAAAGCTAAACTAAAAACATGGAACGTCTCAGTCAATGAAGACTTCGCACCAGCCACACGTTATGCGCGCAAGAAGTTGTTTGACTTCGCAAAATCTCAGAGTCCCAATAGTATATTTAAGATAAGGTACAACAGACTTCACCTAAACAAGAAGTGTTACGCCTACTGCAGTACGAGTGACGAAGTTTATGAAATTTCTAGTGCTACCAGTGCTACTGATAGAGGTGCCGAGTCACTCCAACCGCAACACGTGCAATCAGCAACGTCATAACAATCGTGCACTCTTCCAGTCAAAGATTCGACGGTGGAAAATGTTTCTGTTTTCTTTACAAATATCCGAAGCGTAATAAAGAAACGCGATGAATTGTGCTCCGCTCTTGATTCTGCTTCTGCCGACATCATTGTGTTGACCGAGACATGGCTCTCTAGCAAAATACGTAACGATGAACTTTTTTTTTGTGATAAGCAGTACAAAGTTTATCGGCATGATAGGGATTCGCGGACGGGCGGAGGCGTGCTGGTTGCAGTTGCTGATTACATTGAGTCATCCCATATTAACTTAGCATCTAGCTTAGAAATTGTGTGTGTACGTTTCCAACTAAGTCACAGAAACATTGTTGTCTGTGCATGTTACCGCCCACCTACCTTTGCTAAGAATTTTGTGGAGTTATTACATGACACACTTAGCGGAATTGTTTCAAGGTTTCCTAACTCGCAGCTATTTATTTTTGGCGATTTTAACTACCCAAATATTAACTGGTCACAAGATATTCCTATTTGCGTGCCTTATTCTTCTGAAAGCAACGATTTCCTAAATCTCTGTGCAGATTTTAATCTTTCGCAATTAGTAACCGAGCCCACGAGAATTACGTCCTCAGCATCCAACGTTCTTGATCTTATTTTAACTACGTCTAAGGACCTCGTAGAGCCGATCTCTTATCTTCCAGGTCTTAGCGACCATTTAGCCTTGCATTTTTTCCTGAAAAGTCCTAAGAACACTCCTGCTGATTGTGTCAAACACATCCGTGATTACGCCAGAGCCGACTTTGAATCCATAAACCGCGAGCTATGTACATTCATGGGCTCTTATATGCAGAATTTTTCAGAACGATCGGTTGAAGGCAATTGGTGTCTGTTCAAAGATAAAATTACTTCATTGATCACCAACTACATTCCCTGTCGTGTTGTCAAATCAAACTCGAAATCACCTTGGTATAATACGACTTTAAAAAGGCTGTCTAATAAGAAAAAGCGCTTGTTTCGAGCAGCTAAATCATCAATGTCTCCCGATCGCTGGGCCGCGTACTATTCGGCAGCTGAAGTATACAAACTGGCCGTCGATGAAACTAAATATAACTTCTTCAGCATAAAATTACCCTCAATGCTCACTAACAATCCAAAACAGTTTTGGAACTTAGTCAACCCTGCCGACAAACATTTAATACAACTTAAAAATTCAGGCGGAGAGGTGATTTCTGGTGAAGATTGCGCTATGACTTTCAACGAAAGTTTCATCAGTGTCTTTAGTGATTTCTTAGGTGCCAACCATCCCGTACTACCATCTTCTGATTTTTTGCCCATGTTACCAATTGTGTTTGATCCACCCGGTATTGTTAAAATTATTGAAAACCTCAAGCTATCGTCGGCATCAGGTGTCGACGAGATAAACGCAAAATTTCTAAAAAATACCAAAATGTACTCCTCAATCATCTTGTCATCTTTGTTTCAACAATCACTTGATCATGGCGTCTTACCCGAGGACTGGAAGGTAGGGAAGGTTGTTCCAATTCACAAAGCTGGTGACCGTTTCTCCCCTTTCAATTACAGGCCAATATCTCTTACTAGCGTACCCTGCAAAATCATGGAGCACATAATTTCTTCACAGCTCTCGCGTTTCCTGGAGTGCAACTCCTTCTTTAGCCCTTTTCAACATGGATTCCGCAAATCTTTCTCGTGCGATACTCAGCTTTTAGTTTTCACCCACAACCTCCACTCGGCTCTGGACCGTGGATCTCAGACTGACTGCATCTTTCTGGACTTTGCAAAGACTTTCGATAAGGTAACACATAAACTACTACTATACAAGCTTAGCCTACTCAGTATTGATCCATATATCTTATCTTGGTTAGAGTGTTTCCTCACTAACAGATCGCAATTTGTAACTGTCAATAACAAAAACTCGTCATCGTCCCTCGTTAAGTCCGGTGTACCACAGGGTTCTGTCCTAGGCCCCCTCTTATTCTTAGTATATATAAATGACCTACCTACTAGCATTTCCTCCTCCATAAGCGTATTTGCGGATGATTGCGTTGTTTACCGTGAAATTACTAATGACTCTGACGTACACATAATTCAATCTGATTTAAATGCAATTTCTTCCTGGTGTGATGCTTGGCACATGAAACTAAACACTATGAAGTGTAAGACAATGAGGATTTCTCGCAAAGCAGCACTCTGTCCTAACTACTTCCTATCAAATAACATCCTTGAAAACGTATCAACTTACAAATATCTAGGTGTTCATATCTCTCCTGACCTATCATGGAAAACTCACACCGAATATATCGTTAATAACAGTAACCGCATGCTTGGATATTTAAGACGTAACTTTTCTCTAGCTCCATCATCATTAAAATTACTACTTTATAAAACACTGGTGCGACCAAAACTTGAATATGCATGCTCGGTCTGGGATCCCGGTACAGAAAGCCTCATATCAGCGCTTGAAGCCATCCAAAACCGGTCAGCACGTTTTATATTATCAAACTACCATCGTGCATCAAGCGTCACATCCATGAAAGCTAGTCTCTCACTGCCCCCTCTTTCCACTCGTCGCACTATCTCCCGCCTCTGTTTATTCCATAAAATTTACTATGCCAATTCACTCTTGAAAGAACAACTAATCAGTGCTCCCATCTACGTATCCTCTCGCCTCGATCACTGCTGCAAAGTTGGTATACCCACTTCCATTTCAAATTCTTTTTTCAAATCTTTCATCCCAAAAACATCTCGTGATTGGAACGGCCTTCCCTCACCCATTGCGTCCATTGGCGATTTTGTCCTCTTTAAAGAAGCTTTAACAAGTTACCATTCATGATCTGTGCCGGACTAACCATTTTCAGCGTTTTTTGTACTTCCGTTGCCCACCCCCTCTGTAATGCTTCGGCCCTGAGGGTATAATAAATAAATAAATAAATAAAAGGTACTGCGTTGCGATGAGGAGAATGTGTCTCTGCTAGTTACGATCTGCAAACTGCGCGGTTGGCAGGACAAGTGAAACAAACTGTTCTAATATATCTGCCGTGACTGTAATAAATGAGTGCAACCGAGCAGCACAGCAATTTTCCTGTTATTAAATGATTTTCTCAATAGTGTGGGTTTACCCACTTCAATTTCCTTGTTGAGGGCCGCGGATGCCAAGAGGCTAATACTATAAATTTCTGGCTAAATAATCTTGTATTCAAACACAGTAGACTCTGCAACCCCAATAAACGACGCGCACCACAACACAGACTGCAACGGCCGCAGTGATACTCTTTTACTGATGAGGGCTAGCAACCTTCACGAGACTTTCCGATCACCCTCCGCCCTCCCCTAACGCATATCAGAACTGGGCAGTTCATCGATTAACTTTCAGATTATTCAAGTAATGCTTTATTGCATTTCTTTTTTTTGCCGGTTAATTGGAGTCTTCTGCTGGAGAAAGTCAACAAGGAGTAAAAAATGCCTGCTTTAATATTTTTGACAGTCTTTATTTCTTTTGTGACACAGGCTTGCATGGTAAACCACCTCAGCATGCTTGTCATTTCACCGAGGGTGATTATACGGTTTAAATAATAACTTAAAAAATACTTCATTTTAAGAGGCTTCCAGTGTTCATATCTATGTAGGACTCACAACATGAACTTTAGAATGGGAATGCAGTATGCCATTTATGACATAGTAAAACCAGTAAAAAATGTGTAGTTTTAATGTCTTTCACGCAATATGACCGGCAAAAAATCAACGTACGAATTTATTGATTGGTTAGTCTATTAAAGGATAGCAAACAGTCGGGTTAATTTTTTAATCAAACAACAGACCCACTCAACATTCAATGTTTTATAAAAACCACGGTTTGTGCGAGATAACAAAAATACGTGGGACCAGCGATTGTATACAAACAAACACACTAAGATTATGGAAGCTTCCGACTTAATAATAATCGCTTTGCTGAATTTCTATGCAAGGGAAACAATACAACACAACCTTTTGTAAGAAGAAACGGCAACAAAAACATAAAACATTTAATAAGGAATGTCAAGCTCAGCCTGAAACGGGCGTGCATCGTCGAGATCCATGCTTCTGAGCGTGCGCCCGTAGCAGACGACGCACGGCGGTATCCCCGCTTTCGCGAGTTTCAAATTTCGGCCGCACGGTAGCGACACGGTTCGATCTCGAGGCGAATATTGTAAACGACTTATTTTTCGCGGGCATGATGTTTTGTGACTTAGGTCAAAGCTGAAGTTTTGGAATAATTCTTGGGTCCTAATTTTCGCAACGCGTTGGGATCTCAATATAGATTCCAATGTGTTTAAATTTTACCGGAATTGTTTCTGGAACCTATTTTTCACGAATTGTAGGCGATTCACAAAATTCACGAAAATTAGGTTCTCGCGAAAATTAAGTTGTTTACAGTACTGTATTTTGCTGTCAAACGTTTAACACAGTTTGATGCAAACGAGCATAAAAGAGATGATACATACAGGGGTGAAACAAGTGAAACAGGTTTTGGAGCAATTTTTGGAGCAGAAAAATCTAGATTTTGGAGTAGCTTAGGAGCACAAAATGCTCGCTCTGGAGCAGCAGTTTACTAATCTTGGAGCAACTTAGGAGCAGAAAAGTCTACAGTTTGGAGCAGATTAGGAGCATAAAATGTTAGAGCAGCTTGTCAGTAATTTAAATCATAAAAAATCTGATTTAGATCACATAAATCTGATTTTTCTCTTTTAATCATTATTTCTTTCCACCCTGATATGCACAGAGATAAAATATAAAAGAACAAAAAAAACGGAAAAAACAAACCCGAGTCCAATCCGCATGGATGACACAGGCTTGCTGCAAACTTAGGTGGGCACCAGGAACCTCAAGCTTATACGAACTGGTGCCAAAGCGCAGTTGTAGTGCAAAACTTTTTAAAGCAGTGATTCGAAGGAATGAACAGGGAAGCACGGTTTACTACAACCAGACATCGATCGGATGCTCGTACAGAGCACGTGCAGATAGGAGAAACTCCCCACATAAGTGAGTTTCAAGGTAAATAGTGAATTGGCAGAAAAACTATGAGCAACACATGCACGCTAAATACGGGTGTGTGACCGATCCATTCGATTGTTTACGCACTGGAAGCTTGTGTGGGATCACCGAAAGTACTCACGGCGACGACGCCGTCCATTTTGACGAGATTATTACAAACACGAATGAACAATTACACAATGGAGGCGCTCATTAGCACTTTTAAGAAAAGATTTACTCTGAAAGAAATACTTGCTCATCTTGATAGCCTGTGCGTCATACCTCCCGCGGCCAGACAGCGAGACTGCGTGACAGCACACCGGTAGCATGCAGTCACAAATGACAGCGGAAAATAGTAGGGAAATCGGGGAAACTACCATGCATCATAGGTAGAGAACGGTAATACAGCTGAAATCTTCGAATCTGGCGGTTGCTTGTGCCGCCCTGCACTCGTGCCGTGTACTTTGGATGGATGGATGGATGGATATTGGCTGTTCCCTTTATCTAAGGCAACGTTACTAAAACACTCAGTTGGGAAACTCGCCGTCGAAAACTGGGCCGCTGGCGTCCACCGAGACCGAGCTAAATGCGACAACAGCGCCACTCTTTATCGTTTGTCTGTACTGTGGTCACCTTGAGCTTTTTGAAAGCCTGTTTTTGCGTAAAAACAAACGGAAAAGACTCTTTCTGTATGAAATTTATTGGAGTTTAGTACCAAATGATGGGCGCGTGATGTTTTTATCATCTTTAGTTCGCAAGGTTTTGCGGAACAATTAATATTGTTTTCATACAACTATGCCTCAGCGGGCCTTTCAGGTAGCACGTCCTGACCTAGGTGCATTTTAACGTCGGTAGTTGAACGCGGCGCGTCCGCCGGGGAGAGAGGGGTGGCACCCCTGTAACCTCTACCGCTGTATCTGTTCTTAAAGCCAAAATAGAAGTCATGTGCAGTTCTTTGAGTGACCGCTGCGGGAGAAATGGTGGCGTTGTGTTCGTCATTAGCTCGGTGCTCGGAGATAGATTGGGGCCACTTTTTCAAAGCTGTCTCTATGGGAGTTTCCCAACTGAGTGTTTTAGTAACGTTGTCTAAGGCTAGGTAGCTTGCACCACCTAGCCTTAGATTGAATGTTGCCAACCAAGCTCTTGTTTCCCGCTAAATCTAGCATTGCAACAAACGTTTTTGTTAGTTTTTGAGTTACTTTGGCGCAGTGGGGTGCACTTTTGACCGATTTCATGTTTTTGGTGCAACTAGGCGCAGAAAATAGAGTGTTTATCAAAATGTTGCAATTGGCGCAGATGTCACATCCCCGTACATAAAGAAACTTCAGCAATTGGACATCTCTGCTGCTTGAACCCTTATTGAAGTAGAGGGCAGGTTTACTGAGCATCAATGTAGCACAACCCCCACGATAAAGAATAGCTCCCCCAACTCCGACATTTCCCTAACTCAAACACACCAGGTGCGTGCTGGAAGTATCTGAATCAGGATCATTTCAGAAACGTGTTACCTTTCAATGGCACTATCCTCTGTTCCTCCTCCACATTTTTCTTCCTCCTCGTCAGCTATAAGTGGGCCATTGCCAGTTTGTGTTCCAGCCTAAAAAGCAAAAAAGAGAAAGCAAGAGAAAGAGAGTTAATACAGGAACATTTACCTCGTCAAGTTAAGAGACACTCATTTTCAAATTATTACAATTTGTCTTATAGGCGATTCTGGAAAGCTTTCCCTATCTTTAAATTCTGAAGAAAACCTGCCCAAGGTTTATAGGCATTAGACAGAACCTCAATAAAACCCCAAAAGCTACAAAAACAAAACAAAACAAAAACAAAGAAAACAGCCTATTGAAATACCATTTAGAACTTTAACATCTATTTAAATTATAAGAAAATGGTCCCAGGTTACGACCAAAAGATACCATGGCATGTGGGGGGGGGGGGGGGGGGGGGGAAATAGAACACACAGCCAAGTAAGATTAAAGCACTGTCTAACTTTGTTCCCTCCTAAGCTGACAGTGTGGTGAAAGCTACAGGCATGTTGGACCAGTCATAGGTCTACCTTTCACCATGTGATCACGCTCCTGCCCATACCCACGAGCAGAGCACGCTGCTTGGGGTCAGTTGATGAAAGGTAGACGGCTGATTGGTCTGGTGAACACGCAGTTCCCACCTTAAGAGTGAACAGAGTACAAGATGACAAATAATTTGAATGAAAGACTGAACTAAGCATATGCAAGAGTGAGCATTGCACCATTACACAAGGTCTCTCCAAGTATAACAAATGATATGTCTGCACTGCCCAGAACAGACCAAAACCACCAGGGATATTAAAAACAAAACAACCCCGTGGAAAGAAAATCACTGACATTGACCCTTTGTGCAGCGCTTTGGTTCAAGGATTTGTTGTATAAAGAAGCATGCCATTGGGAACCCGCGAGTAGAAGCAGACGAGAACGAGTTCAGAGTATGAGCTCCATAAAGGACAGCTACGCAAGAGACGAGTTCAATGCCTGCAAGAAGTTAGGATGCTTCGAAAGTATCTGCTTCTCCAAGCTTGCGGCAACGCCTCGCAGTTTGATTATATTCTAGTTCACTCAGTTGTAGTTCATCGTTTCCAAGAAACAATTGCGATGGCCTTCTGACGACTTCCTACATCGAGCAAAAAACGCTCGAGCTGCGCTTAAACAACGTTTGACGTCATGACAGTAAAGTTGCAAGTTATTTTCCGTTTCATCATACTTCTGCAATTAAAGAATATTTAAAGAGTTTCAAAGAAACTTATTCACAGCTCTAGGTTCAGTTTCTTGTGCACTCTCAGAAATTATGTGTACCTCAATATCTCGACAGATTAACCCACCTAAAATTGAAAGCAAATCAAGTGAAAACAGGAAGTGGGCTAACTTTCAAGTTGCGGTCAAAAAAGTAGAAAGAATGGTAGTTTTAGATCATGATGTGACCTGTGAAACTTCTGACTGCAGTGAGGACACGATGAACTAAAGACGACTGCCCTTCCCAGTCAGCAATGTTCGCTTATCTCCCGCTGTGGCTAAGTAACACCACTTCCGCTGAGGTCACCATTGGCCAGGGCTTTGCAATTACAGTCGAGCCCAATTAAAACAAACCCTTCCACGACACGAAACGCATTCGCTATAACAGAAGTTCGCTATAATTGGACTTACCTTCAAAATTCACGATAAACAAGTAAGCACGGCACAGATCCAAAGCCAACACCCGCGATCGACGCGCGCGGCATTTATTCGAGGAAGTTTGTAACCTTGGTCTGTTTTAATAGTGCAGACCCAATGATAAATAAATAAATAAATAAATCTTTATTTTACGTGCCCACAAACAACTTTACAGTTTATGATGTGGTGCACACAAAGAAAATTAAAACACAGCACTATATCAAACATTAAAATACTTGTCACAATGAAAATGTAAACAGATAACAGAAACTGAAAGACTATACAGAACCCGCCTTACAATAGGTAATTCAGGGATATCCACTTTCACACATGAGACATAAACTGGTTTGAACAAAGAAAAATGTCAAGATGGGTCTTATTAAATGCTAATTGGATTCTCGTTAAAGGAGACACAGATGACATAGCGCTCTCCAGGTTTCTCAGCTGATCAATGTGGACAATGCTCAGTCCCCGTGCATAGACCAGCTGCTTCAACGAAGCTCTGTGCCCCAAAGCCGTCATTGTCGATACCAGAGGTGAGAGAGCAACCCCATCGCAGCCGTCGTCTTTGTCGTCACCCTCGTCGTCGGACGCTGCGATGTCCTGAATGGTCGGCCACACCTCCCGCATGATAGGTTCGTCGGTGGAGCTCATCAAGACGACCACATCTTTGTCCGTGTTAATGAAGTCGTTCAAAGTCTGCCCATCTTCCGTCAGGCTGGCAGCAACGGCTTGGGTCCACAGGGACAAGTTGATGTTTCACGTATCGTCTTGGCTTGCTTCCATGGGAGAAAATTTCAGCTTTTTGATAGCAGTTGTTGATGCTCCCAGCTCTTATCTCCATCCACGAGGCTTTCAGCATATCCACCGCGTTCATGAGGGAGATCGTCAGCGGAGGCCCTTGTGAAATCAATTGGGCGATTACGATGAACAGTCTTTCGATGATGGGGCGGCGGTAGCAGACTTTGCAATTCCTGATGATCCCTATGTAGAGCAGCTGGAGCTTGGCAGTGGTGTTTGGAGGGAGAAGCATCAAAGTGACAGCATTCAACTGCGGGTTCACGTGATGCGCCAAGCAAGTATCCAAGGTCAAGAGAATCCTCCTCTTTTGCTGGACCATAGACTCGTTAAGCTCTGTGAGCCATTCCGCAAGGAGTTCTCGAGTCATCCACGCCTTGGCACTGTCTCAGTACTGTACGGGCAGGGGCCTGGTGGAACAGAGTGGTTTCTTCACCGTTCCAATAACGAACGGCAAGTGCCTGTCACTGCCGTCCACATTGCAGCACAGTTATCTGCACCTTGCTGTGCTTGATACCGACGCATTTCTCGCCCTTCAGCACATGCGTACGCACAGGCCTCATCTGGTAAAACAAAGCAGTCTTGTCTGCGTTGTACACGTCTTGCTCACTGTAGCTGTAGATCTCGTCGAGGTTGTCGGTAAGCCATCGCTCCGCTCTCTCCACGCCCACGGATGCCGCTTCCCCGACGATGGACTTGTAAACGATTCCGTGCTGGTCCTTAAAACGATGAAGCCCCCTCGTTTCCAGGGCTGAACTCGGGAAAATTCAGGGGAAGCGCGAAGACCCTGGCTTTCCTGAGCAGCAGTGGTCCACTGATGGGGACGTTCATCGTTCTTGCGTCGAGAAACCATTGAAGAGAGCGTCTTTGACGTCCTTGTACGCGGTGTGCTGCAAATGTTTTCGAGCACTGCAGTCACCGTTCATGCTCATTGCTGGAATTATCTTCTCCTTGTCCTTGGCAATGGTTGAAATGGTGGACTTTGATAAACCATATTTTTTGCACCCCGGCACTCAGCTCCTGATGGACTGCACACTTCGTGCCCATGTCAATCACTTTCCATTTCTTCGAAGTCGAAGTCATGTCCGACATCACCGAAAACTTGGGGAGTGACCGAAAAAGACTGCATGCAAGTCGAGCCGAGACCAAACGAGAAGAGACAATAAGCTTCTGACGAACGAAATATGAAAGACCGTGAAGCCGTAGCAGCCGGAAATAACAAAGCGCAGGAAAAAAAATATCACCAAACCACATAGACTTTGCACGTGGCCACAATGCTTCTTTTCCCTTCGAGAAAATGGGCCAATAAGCTTGAAATGAGTCCAGAGCATGCACAAACCGATGGCCTTGGGTGCTTTGCTTCCCCCTTCCTTTCTTCTTCCCTCTACCCCCCCCATTTCCAAGATAATACACCAGCGCTGCCTGCGGACCTTCCGTGTTTTGCTTCTTTTCCTCCCTGCCGTATTTTTGCGGCAGCCCGTGCTTCATTTTGTTCGTTTTATCCGAGAATAGCGCGCAGAATTGATATTAATTTATTTAACTCTTGAGGAGAGTTTGGTCACCACAAAAGGCCAATGGCTCGTACCCGTAGGTCTGTTGTTAAAAGTGGACAGTCTTTTGTAGGATTTTTTGCAAAGTATGTTCAGGGATAAGAAATTGTTTGTAATAACAGAGTGTTCGTTTTAGGTGGGGCCGTTATAAGTGGGCTTGACTGTACTAGAAATGGGCTATCCTTCGGTGTTATTAAAAAAAAATGGCAAATCCTGCCAAAAATAGGGATGGGTTATATTTCAGAAGTGGGGCATCTCTTGGAATATTACGGTAGTTGAAAATGTTCAAATTGATGCCGATTTAGATGCTGACACACAAGTTCAGACATCGACACATGGTTGGGCAGCATACAAGCCACTGATTTCGCCAAGTATGCTGGCTTCATTTCTGATGAGCTCTCATGTCGTATTGTGTACATGGCAACCCTACGCAGTTAAAATGGTACCTGTGTAAATGGCGTAAAAGCACTTGTAGTACTGCTGTTGCTCATTTATTTATGAAGGTCGTTGGCACTATGCCTTCTTCTTTTATAAGCTGGCATAATCCTGTAGACCCTCCAGTTCATTCAGCGTCTTGGTGATTGGGGTGGCCGAAGTCGTGAAGCGTCTCTCGTGCTCCGAGAGTTGCTCGGCTGGAATTTGATGTGACAAGGCTTTTGAAGTGGTGTTACACCAGATGAACAAACATTGGGGTCGAGGTGGGCAGGTCTAGCCCAGTCTAACTATTCAACTTTTTTGTTTACATTGAACAGGAGTGTCCTATTTTTGTTACTCCCACGCAGGGGGCTCTTTCTGACACTGTTGTGTCTGAGAAATATGTGTGTACAACACTGAATGACGGCAGGGATTGAGGTGCATCATGTTGAGGGTATTCTTAAGCAGGAAAGATTGGAGGTTCTGCATCAGGATACGCAGTCGCTGAACGTAGTCTTTGGCACTCTCTAGTTAGTTGTTAGATAAATTCTTCCGGCAGACGGAGGGGCGCACCGTACACCAGTTCTGCAGCACCGCAGTTGATATCTAACTTCGGTGCTGTTAGGACACTCAGCCTAACTAAGGGTGGGCCCTCC